CCCCCGGCCCCCGGCTGGCGGCCCAACCCCGCGCCCGCAAGGGAGGTCCCCCCGGGGGGATTTTTTTCACCCCTCTTTTATTTTTAGGCTGCTGTAGAAATTAACGGCCCACGTGAAATTCCTGACATCGAGGAGCCCAAAAGGCCGCGGGGCGTCCTTTTTAAGGACTAAAAGGCCCTCCGGCCTCGTAGCTTCTCCCCGCCAGTGGGACGAGGAGGGGGCTTCCTGAGGTAACAACAGGAAAATGAGGCGGTTTCCTCTTCTAAAAAGAAAACAATGAGGTTTCCCCACCCTAAAAAGAAAACCTTCCGTACATCTACCACCGATTTCTTCAAACCCTTGACCCGCAGTGCTACCAGCAAGCTCCGAGCCCCCCTCATTTTGCAATAAAAACCAAGAGTTGCGGTTTTTTCTTTTTTTTTTTTTTGTCTCCCCCCTTAAAAGACAGTTATGCCGAATAACAATCACAGGTTGCTCCATCCCGCCACCAACACTGAAGGCCAGAGCTCAGCGGGCACTACCTGGACAAGACGATGGCACGCGTGCTGCCCACCTCTAAACACTGCAAAGCTCTCCGTAAACTTTAATTAACGGGCACGTATCCCCGTGACACACCATCATCATCATCATCATCACCTTCTCCAGTTTGTGCGCCAGTCAGGGTGAAACAGCCGTGCCTCCGGTTTCTTTTTAACGACCAGAGCACGTCACTGGTTTCTTTCAGTGCAGATGTTCTGCCACAGCTGGTGCCACTATTTTGAGGACACATTTCTGGCTTCACAACCAATTGCGCCAAATTTGCATATTTTAATTTCACCACGTTACTTATAAAAAGAAATAATAATTAAAAAAAGAAATCTTTGTACAAAATGTCGTGTAGTTACAAAACATTTCCATTCTCAACTTCCATATTCCTTAGCGCGTCTTACAAGCGCCACTTTCCGAAATGGTTGAAGGGAATATTGCTGAAATGTTGCAGATGGGGGTAAATCTGTACGATAGATCAATAAGCAGCCCAGTTTTAATTAAAACAGCCGACTGCTCCACTAGTCACTTATTACAGTCTCTTTTATGGTCTTTGAAAACCTTTAAATCTCTTCTATTGCAGTCCTCTGGCATATATAATTTTCTTTCCAACTTGGCCAAATTCAGTTGGAAAATGCAGATAACAAGTTCTTTTTGAAAACTGATACATTTTAATGTAAATATTTTATTGTGCAATATGAATACATGAGTAACAGGACATTCTGAGTTAAGCTTTTCCCTTTTCTTAAAGAAAGGGGGTATTTTTTCTTTCTCCCCAGGCCAAAATGCACAAGCTCTTTACAAATCTTTGGACAGGGACTTTCATTCGAGGCTGAATTTATATAGCATTTAAAGTGCTATAAAGTGCTATATATTTATGCATAAAGCATAAATTAATACACTTTTAATACTTAATATTTGCATAGTGCTTGGCGAGTATTGATTAACGTTCACAACCCCTCTGTGAGCTAACGCATTTAAAGGATGGCGAAAAAGCTGCAAAAAAAGAAAAAGGGCTTGTTTCATTTGGGGTATGCGAAGACTTGCTTTTTGGGGCACAGCAGAAACAGAAGTACTGGGATGCAGGTTGCCGAATACCCCTTGCAATCAAGTCGCAAACGTCTCAGTACAGAGGCGTGCAAAGCATGAGGGCCCCTCATGAGAGTCTGAATTTCCACGGCCACGTGGTGCCCGTCTCAGAGGTCAGAGCAGCAGTACAACCAGAACACGCCTCGTCCTCTGCCTCAACGTATTCAGACGTAATAGTTTACGGTAGGACAGCGGCTGTTAACACAAAAGAAAGCAGCATCCCCATACGCAGGCATGACATACCAAACAGATACTCGATGCACTTTGGAGTATTTTTACTGAGACAGCCTTGATTACAACAGTGTTATCCTCGTTTTTCCGAAAAGCAATTTCAATCTGGTGACTTTTGGGGAAGTCTCACAGATCAGCACGAGGTACGACCTCAGCTTCATGCTCACCTCCAGTAACATAGCCTGCTCCTAGCGCTACGCTGCAGACACCAGCGTGTAAGAGCTGAAGTCCTGCCGTGAGGCTGCAACACAGCGTATTCCGCTTCAAAAAGCAAGACCATCGGTGCTCAGTTCACTACCTAAAAAACAAGCAACAAATTCAAATTTGAATTCATTGAGAATAACTGATCCCCCTTCATACAGAGATCAGTCCTCCCCAGGAAAAAAAAAGTCCCCAGCTAAAAAAGTTCTAAGCCACCAGATCTCGTTCTTTCCTTGGTGGTCATCAAGAGCTCCGTATGCAGCTGAATTCATACGACAGCTGGGTGGCAGGGAGATTGAGACAGCCTCCAGCAAAATGCAAATGCAATTCCAGCAGTTGAAAAAACCCAAACGCCTTCAGCAGGGAAAAGCTTTGGAAGCGGTTGCTTTCAGATAAATACGAGTCAACATAGGAACGGCAGGTTACGCTACTGCAGGTATGTTGACACTCGCAATGGCCACGGTTAATTCAGCGTGTAGATATATTCCAGATGAGAACTGGTAGTTATCTGTTGCCTGTGACAACAGTACCACTTTGAATAAATGCTGCAAGGCTGCGGCATTCCCTAGAACACCTTTCCTGTTGTTAACCCTGTTAGGTAGGTGGCAGCTTTCATTTCCTTCCAAGAATCCCATTTTATATGCTTGGTTCCAGGGCTTTTAGTGCCCTTTTCCCAGCACATCTGTGCTAACGAAGCACCGAGAATCTCATCCTCGCCTTCGGCTGCTACTGTTTATTCCGTAAGAAGTGTTTCAAGTGAACATCTCTGCCCATTATCACTTGCAAGACCACAACTGCGTAAACGGAAAGAACGTATTTATGATTGCAAAAACGTGCCCCGAAAGGGCAATGTTAAACTCTTGATAAAAAGGGCAAACAGAAGTCAGCGAGGAATGTGTCCGGTGCTCCCATTAAAGTCACTGGGAGCAGCAACTTCAGCAGACTGATGTGCCGAGATCCTGCCAGTACCTGGAGAATGAGTTCACAGAAGTCAGAAAGCCTTTGAATATTCTCACCATTCTCTTAAACTCCACAAATTAAAGCATAAAATTGATCTAGCCTGTGAATGGTAACGTTATGCAGCTCTTTTAATTAAAAAACTTGATTGAAGATTTAAATGGCGGATCATATCATTCGTACTAGCTCTATGTGACAGATACGTGCAAGTTAGAAGTTGCAGAGGTAGAGCTGAGTCAGCCTTGGTTTTAGGAGGTGGAATGCAAACTGAATTTAGAAAATGACTACAGCATGTGGGGGGCTTGAGTAAAGAGAACTCCTTATTCTGGCACAATTCAGCAACATAAGAAATACTGAACAGTGCTTCTAGAAAAAAAATATACCACCCAACTTGCATGAATGATACACAGTTAACTGCCACAACTCATCACGAGCCATACTGCGCTTAGGGCAAGACCTCTATGCGTTAACAAGGCTGTAAGAGGAGCATAAAGCAATGCAAAACTTTTATTAGCCAACTAAAACTCGATCCAGCATCCAGCTATATGAGTGCCTTTGGGAAATAAGACTTCTCCAAACCCCATAAATAACATCAGAAAGTTGCCAACCTGCTCTGGAATTGGACATCTGTATTTGGCTGCAAAACTTCTTTGTGGAAGTCCAGGGTTCCTGCAGTTTCACAACTCAGCGTTCCATCTGTAACTCAAAAGGACAACACGTTGCAGACAAGGTATAGGAAGTCCAGCAGCAACGAGATGAAGGAAACCGCTGAAGAAACTGGGCTTAAGATAAGGTATACACAGAGGATAAAGATGTTCCATAGAAAAAGGGTAAGAGAAAAGATGCAGAGACCTTCTAGGCCTTGAAAGATAGTGCAAGGCAGACAGGAGTTTAAAAAAAGAAAGGTGATATCTATGGGAATCCAATGAAGTTTAGGAAAGTGAAAGGACGGAGAATAAGAACAGATTCCTCGCAAGTGGAGTCGTACCTTAAAAACAGGGAAAAAAAGGAGTAATTGCAGGCGTGAGGAAAACCAGCACAGGAATCTGTGAAAAGGAAGTGACACAGTAAATAGTGGTGAACAACGAGCCTTTCTGTTTCTACTCAAAGACATCTTTAAAAGGGCTCGGCAGGGAAGGGAAGAAGAGTCTACCCTTTACCGTATCCATGAATCCTTAACTCTTGATGGCCATTTTCCTACTGCTCTGTTCTGTGCCTGAAACAGTGCCATTAATCTGGCTTGCATATAACAACTTCATGCAGGTATTCTGAGATTTTTCGGGGGGGGGGGAGATTTAAACAGCAGTTTGTGCTACGTTAACCTCAACCAGCAAGATCCTGGCCTACGGCGTGTAACAGACTGTTAAGGAACCTATCGCAACATTAATACTCACTCTACCGTAACTGCAAACTTCAAAATAACCCCTTCTTTTAGGTTGAGAAATATTACCGCTTTGCTGAAGCACATCAGCACAGAAAAGGTGGCAATGCATTGGAAAATGAAAAATGCATCAATTGAGGACGCTTAAGGCTAGCACGACGAGAGCGTGGCTGCTAAAGGAAGCCACTGCTCCTTCAGTACTCCGCATAGGAATCTTGGCACCCGGAAAGCGTGCTGAGTCTATGATCTCCTCTCATTTTCTAGATGGAGGGCAAAACCAACGATCACGGTGTATTTAACTGGACAATTTGTTTGCCTGAGGAGGAAGACTACCCAAGACAAATGCAGTCTCTGAAAGACACAAGCAATCCTTTTTGGAATAGATTTGCACATCTGTAGGATTCAATATCCAGGAAAGGAAATTACCTCTAATATATAATTCAATAGAGTAATGAGCCCACACTCAGATTTAGGATCCCGAATGCAAAAATAGAAGAGAGCCTAACCACCTTTTCAGCTAACCGTCAGTTTTCAGAATACACAAACTGGGTATTTATGCTGCTCGTTTTCTCTCTGCAGGTGGATGCGAGGTTTTGGGCGCTGGCTGGATCTCAAGGCAGAATAATGCCCGATGCTTCTTCAAAGAGCTGTAGCAAACGCTTAACCTGACACATGGAACTCAAAAGGCAGGGGGTCTAGAGGTCTACAAATAAAGGCACAGTCAAGACACTGGGGCGAGAGAGGAAGGAGAGGCTGCATCTCAGAAAATATTTAGTAAACTCTCACCCTGTTGCATCGTAGTATCTTCCTACAACGGGCTGAAGGCGTCCTGTCATCTTTACCTCTTCTAGTCCACCTGTGAAGACCAAAGTGTCATTTAGTCTCTGAAGATGGCAGGATCGGTCGTTCATACATCAAGGCAACCAAACCATTCCAACTCACATCAGCTGAGCGGTGCAGTTTCTGGTAGAGAAGCCATATGAGAGCTTAAAGAGAAAAAACCCACAACTAAAAAAATCCACCAACAACCGAGCATATTTTCCACAGATATTGGCTCATTATGATGCTGCGATTTCTCCTGTTGTCCTTGGACAACGTTTCTTTCCTCTCCCCTCGTCTGCTTGCCGGTCTCACTCAGACAGTCTCATTTCAACGGTGTGAAAGGTTGTTCATTTTATAGAGGTCTTTCATGAGAGATGAAAATTCAAATATGTTATAATTAGCTTCAGTTCCGCATATGTCAGTATTATTGCAGCTTTTATATTAGATCTGAATATGTCCCACAAATGTGTGTGTCAAATATTACAGTAGAATGATTAATGATATCACACATAATGGAAGGATTAAGCATTGATGCAGGAGAGTTGCTCGAGAGGAACAACTTCAACTTCTTTCCACTCATAATTTATTTTTGTCCTGTAAAAGAAACCTGAAATTGAAAATAAAAATGGCTTGTATTACTGGCAAGCAAAAGAAGAGATCTGATTCATGATTGAATTCTTCATTCAGTATTCATTGGTGGATTAAAAGCCAAATCATCTCAACAAATGGCACAGCAGTGAACAACATCGAATATAAAAACCTCAGGACTTGTCCTGCTGAATAAACGTAGAATCATTTCCAGCAGCTTTGAAGATAAGTGCAATTCAACAACAAAAAATCTACCCCTCCCTCCACAATCAGCTCTGATTCAGTGCCTGTTACATCAGGCATCACGGAATTACCTGTGCAAACAAGCTCTTTTATGGCACACTGAAGTTGCCTTTTATTTCCCTCCCATCACTTGTTTGTGCAGTTGCTCCGTTTGCAAGCAACAGGGTGTGTTAGGAAGTAACTTATGACACAGCAACAGACAATAAGGGATTTTAAGATGTCTAGGAGACATGTCACATCTGATACAGCAAAGCTTTATTACTGGGAACTGTTGTTTTCCATCAGCTGCATGGTACTTTTAAGTGCTTATTTTTCTGGTGCACTTAAGAGCAAAAGAACTCCCCCAAAAATCCCCTCCTTACTCACTTTAATTTGATAGCAGCACAGACAGCTGCAGTTTGCATCATTCTTTTTAAACAAACATTAAGGTACATTTCCTGTTGCAATTATCATTAGAAGCCTCATGGCTCCCAAGCACCCAGTCATTCTTCTTATGTCAACACAGGAATATTTATTTTAGTTTCTTGAAACGCGCACCCCGGAGACGAGGCGCAGTCGGGCACAAGGTATCACAGCGAAGAGCAGGACCTGCAGCTTCGCCCTCCGGTGCCTGCCACCAGACCACGCTTTGGGAAGGAGCTGAAGGGTCTTGCGCTGATTAACAGCCTGGCCTTCAACTGAGAGTTAGGGGGAAAATCAGTGGGATTTTGGGATTCCCAGGCACAGGAATTCATATTTGCAGACCTCGCTCTACAGCGCCTTTTTTTTTTTTTTAAAATGCGCCAAATACAGACAGTGCTCTCTAGTGCTATTTATCAACCCATTTAAAAGAAGTAACTTCCTATTCTGCACTGGGTTTTTTATAATTATATTTATATAATTTATAATTATATAATCGCACAGTTCTTTGGAGGGCCACAAGAAAATGAGAAGTAGCAGTACTTTCGCAGCTTTCAAGCTCCTGAAGCAGCAAGAAGTTAGAATATAGGTTCTCTTGGTGATAAGAAATAAATGCATTTGAAGTCTGTTTCAGTTCAATAAAGGCAGACGGCAAGACACAGCTGAAAGGAACTGGGACATCTGAGTAGAAGATGAATCCCAATGTCTCCAAGGGAAGGAGTGGACCGCCCACAACTTCCACCCGCAAACCCATGGCCGGAGGGGGAGAACAGCCCCCTCGACTCCTCTCCTGAATCACATTTGCTCAGAACATGAGTCAGCCCCCGAGAGATCTTTGTTTTAACAAAACCCATGCCGCTTCTCCTGTAACGTTCCGATTTCCCATGTCTTGCAAAGGGCTGAATTAAAAGTTGCCCTTTTTATTTTACAACTTTCTTCACTATGATTTTCCCTCGCGCAGGGGAAGAGAGAGTAGCCTGTGCTCTAGCTGTCCCGGTTTGCCAGAGGTTGAAAGTCCTTCCCCCCGCAAGAATAAAGGCATTTTGCCCCACAATAACGAACACACCAGTTGGCAGGAGAGCTTCGCACCGATACCAGCATATTCTGCATTTTAGGAAGCAAACTACAAAGCTTCTTCCAAATCTAGGTTTTCCTGCCTTGTCTCAGTCATTTGGTTGACTCCCTAAGGTCTCTACCGAGATGTAGCTCATTGGCTAAGTTATATAAAAGGAGTCTTAAGTAGAGCACTCTATTGAGGTTTGAATTTTCCCTTTAAAATGCAAATGGCTGGTATTTAATTCCCTTTTGGGATTTAAGAGCTGAATTTAAAATGGGAAATGATGATACAAAAATATACTTCAGAAAGCATTGCAGTATGAGTAATGAAACGTTCGCCACATGAATACAGATTCTTCTGGTCAGCCAGCCATCTTCATTTATCTGCATTTTAATAGTTTCACTCAAAACTGCTTTTGGCTAAATTTTTCCTCAATGTATTACCTGCAGTCTCAGTGGACTACAATGAGGGCAAAATTTGACCACGTTTTCTATTTTTTAAAAATCTCATATATCAGAACATTTAAATATATCAATATTCTATCAGATATTATAACTATCTCCCTCTTTTCTGTTAAAGTCTAATGAGACCTTTGCCATACTTCCTGAAAATATAGCTGGATGACAGACCTGTTTGCCAGCTCCTTCGTTGACTGGAAAGGCTGAAAAGCTATCCAAAAAAGTGTCTACTTAGCAAAGATTTTAAACCAATATTTACTTCGCAATTTCAAAAGGAACGTCTTCCATCTCACTTTCTTTTTCATAATTACCAGTTCACTTCTAAGGGGAAAAAGTAGTCATTTATAATTATGTCCTTAGATCAATGTATGCTTAAACACATGTATATGCATGTGCACACACAGACACACCCCTGCAACCTTACACGGACCTGGAGGATGCGAAGTGCTCTAACCGGCATTTAAAATTCAGAGTGCCCCACTCCTTGTGTGATCAGGCCTTAAGTAGCTCAGCTGGATTCCTTGTATTTGTTCTGTCTTCTGGAAAATATACCTTTACATAACCCTTCAAGAGAACTCGTTTCTATGCACATGGACACCGGCACAAACACATACACCAGTTTTAATAAACCTTATACCAGCAAAGGATGGAACTGTGTCATCACAATATGAAACCCACAGATCACATGTCTAAAAGGGAACTGCAGACTTTCTAGCCTATGTTTAGAAGGGCCTAACCCTGTGATCTAGTTGAAGAAGTTACTTGTATTTGGATACGCTTGCTTTCGTGCGTGGGTGCAGAGACGGAGCACGGGCAGTGGTGTGCAATAGGAGCAGACCCCAGCCAATGCTACCTGCTGATGCAGCATCGACTGCAGCAGCCCAGCGCGGGCACAGGGGTCGATCCCTTGGTAGGGTCAGCAATTAAATACCGACACCATCTCAAAACCTGAAAAACAACAAATTACACAAGTCTTATTTCAAGTTTTTCCTCCGTCTGTACCAGAAGAGAGAGAGAATAGATCAAATATTCAAACTTTTCCTTTTTGCCCTTCTTTTGTTTCCATGTTTTTCTGCAAATTGCATACTGTCCAAGTTCTCTGGGCTCTGTTCTCTCTTTTTCGTTACAGCCTGACTTTAATCAAACCCTTGATCTAAAAGTCCCCAAACAACCAACAAAGAATGTATTTCAGTACGTTAAATTTGAGAAGTCACAATAAGGGCTGTGGTATAATACTGTGATATCACTCACAAAGGACTATTACTTCATTGTGAATGAAAACAGCATCTGGCACGGGGCAGGAAATAATTTACCAAAAAAGCAGCCCAGAAGTACAGCAATGAAAAATAAGAATCAAATGAGTTTACAGCTACTGAAGTTGTTCTCTTCTTTAAAGGTTCTTGCACTGTGAGAATGTTTCTTTAAAGTAAGGGAAGGCAAAATACTGCACACGTTAAGTATTTTTTCCGCCTTCGACTCAAATGCTTGCCAATAGCTCTTCAACAATTGCACGATTCACTATTGAGTATTTCATCGTGAAAGAAGCCTGCATTCTGTACGGTAGAGGGCTCTTTCATTCATTTTTATTTTGTATTTATGCTATCAACCAACATGTCAGCTGTTAAAGAAAACCTGGTGAAAGACTATGAAAGGAGATAAATCCCCAGCAGGTGTTACAGAAGTACTGAATTGTCTTTTAGACTTAATTACACCTTTAATGTGTTTTTGCTGTGTTGCAGTCGCTCTGTATTAAATGAAATAGTATTTTGTAAAATATTTTTTTCTACAGTTTCTGCAACCACTATAAGGGAAAGTGACTGGGTCAACATAAAACTAGGTAAGGGCCAAACTTGGGAAGGAAAAAAGGCAAACAGGCATCACCAGCAGGTTTCCTAGAAGTTCTGCAGGGAATCGGTGAGGAGAGGGCAGAGAAGGGGAGCCAGGCTCTGGAATTCATTACGAAGATTAACACAGAAGGAGAAGTCTCATTACAACCTTTTGCATTTGAGGAGGACCACAAGGATGTGAAGTGGCTCATTCAACTTATTAGGGTATTCCTGAACAGAACAGAACTCACTCGGGAGATCAATTCAGCCTTATCAGACTGATCTGAGAAGTTTAAAATGACCTAGTCATCTTAGGTGTATTCCTCTCCTTTGCCTTCCTAAATACTTCAGCAACTAAAATAGTAACTTTCAAGACAATCTTGCCATGGCAGCAAAGACATTTCAGTGTAAAAATTGGCTACTGATTGGATGGGCCTTCAGCTGGCAAGTCTCTTGATCAAAATGACTCCAAATTTACTTTAAGAAATGCCCTTGCTATTACTGTGGTCCTCTATTATTTAGGCAAATTCACTAAGCAGCAAGTTTCAGAGCATTTTGAGAGTCTGGGGTCGAATTCTGGGATCCTTTGATAAAACGCACGGCCCAGATCCTACCTGAGCTCCCACTGTAGTGCATTAGCTTTAAAGACAGTCTTCCCGAGCAAATGGATTTGAGAGCACTGGGAAGCATCAATTCTACTCTGACAGCAAAACTCTTGAAGCTAATCTCCAGAAAAGCCCCTGCAAAATTAAGGCAGAGCAAACCTAACATGACGCAGAACACACAGGCACTCTCAGCTGGAACTGCAGCACATATTTTATTGTGAACTGCAGCCTCATGCTCAGGCAAGCAAATCCTGAATTTTTCCACTGTATGCAGGCTGAGGTTACAAGAGTTCAA